TTATTTTTCCTCACTATATTATTATATTGTCACCATCATTCATCGGTCAATCGTCTGCGTACACCTAAACTTTGGTCTGTCGTCGTTGTTTACTTATAACGTCGTTCGACATTCATATATAATAACTATATATATATATATACTTGCTGACTCGCCAGCATGATAAATCGGCCCATTAACCAATGAGCGATCGTCGTCAACGGTTCGAAATCATTATGTATTTTTTATGTGCTTATACTTTTACAGATTTCCGARTTGAGCCACACAGTAATCAATGCACTGTCGTTCCGGGTTGAATACAGACGTGGATCCGGCGGCACGGCGATGTTTCAGAGGCAAGTGCGATTCCAAATCGATTTATCGGACGTCACGAACACGCATTCTCCCAGGGACTATTTGTTCGCCATCATATTTACGTTGCACTCCGGTAGGTATCGGTCGCGGTCCGCTAATAAACGCATCATTCATTACTATTATGATATACTTATGATAAATATTATGTTCGATTATGACACCCACGCAAAGTACACTTCGAACCGTTTTTTGTTGTGCGAAACAGGTAATATAAGACGTTTCCGGAGGGTATGCGAACACATTCAGACGCAAATGTGCGCGAGAAAAGCGCCGTCTTCGCCTCGGGCGACCAGAAAGTTTAACACGGACTTATCGGAAAGCTCGAGTTGTGGATCAGATACGTCCGAGAGATTATCGCCATACGTAAATATAAGAAACGTAAGTCAAAATTAAAACCAGCCGGCAACCTATTGCTGTTTCCGTTTAGTTCGTGCACGACGCCCGTTAATCACACGCGGCGCGTCCCGTAATAGTAATGTATTACCTATTATTTACTGTACCGTAGTATATAGCTGAGCTGTAATACAATTTGGGGCGTTCGCGATTTCTTGTGAGATAATCAGTATATTTTAAGAACGCCTGTATATCGATTGCTCGATTTAACGAAGAATAATGCTATAGGCAACGYAAATATACAATGATGTTATACACCTATTATAGGGATTCTATTTTGTCCGTGATGTCCCCCGATAAAATATTTGTTCAGAATTATCAGCGGCGATGCGTGAAAGACCACGTGGTAATAAGTACCTTATACGCAGGCCCCCTAATCATATTTTTGGCCTTGCAGGTACATAACTAAATCCAGGCCCCTCTTAAATAACAATAGATTTTGAAACATTTTTTGATATATATAATGTATATATTCAGTGACAATCCAAGATACGGGCGAACCGGGTGGTTGCCCGGGGCGCTACTTTTTTAGGGACACTTTAAATATACGAATATTTTATAAATTTTAGCGTAATATTTATTCAAATCGAAAATAATATAGCTAAATGACTAAATTATCTATGACAGAATATTCTGTTATATATTTTTTTTTATAGACTTTACTCCAATTTTCAGTTTTTATTATTATATTACAAAAAATAAAAAAATAATATACAATGATWTATAATCATTAACTCGGGAAAACCAAAAAAGTATGTATTACAGCCGATACSTCTATAAATTTTATCCAAATAAGTTTTGAAATCCTTTACCTGTTCATAAATATAAGAATTTTCAACAAAACATGTAGGTAAGTATAAAAAGTTGTAATGTATTATGGAGCATTTGATTAAGGGCGCCTTTCGAAAAATTGCCCGGGGTGTCAAAATACCTTGGGCCGGCCCTGTATATATTGAAGTAATTATTTGTATGAACACCGGGCCCAAGTATCATGGTCCCTTCTGCCCCCCCCCCCACACCCACTTGATCGGGTCCTACCTAATAAGGACGGGAAAGATTCGGTTAAGTTATTAGGTAAATCGTTTATCTACGGCGTTTAGTTTTTAGAAGGTTTTTATATTCCGCTAAAATTCCAGTTACAAAGCTATAAAGAAAAGTGTGATGCTTTTTTTATAAAAAAGCTACCAATATAAAATTATTATAGCTTAACAGTTACAAGTAAATATACATTAACGTTTAACAAGCGAATGGATGAGACAAAAGAAAAATAAGAAACAATAAGATTTTAATCTTTTATTGATTATAACTTTTAAATAATAAATTTGGTTTTATTCTATTGATAACCATTTTACCGGAAAGTACAATATTATCAATATCAGTATAGGTAATAGTAATAAGGTACCTGCAATTAAGTATACTGCTGTAAAATAATATTATAATACTAACACATTTATAACTGCTTATTTTATAAAATCTTAACTTCAAGTAGCTTGTAATATTTTGTTTAAGGATAAATGAAAAATAAAAATATTAACATCAAAATCCATTAAAAAAAAATTATATAATATATATATATATATATATATATATAGGTATACCTTCCAATAGGTACTTAACTTGTAGGTTTTAATCAGAAAATCAATAAAGTAAATAATGGTAAAATAAAAAAATACAAATCATATAAAAGCATTTAAATAATATCTTACCAAATCACCCTGAATAATAATAATAATAATAATAATAATAATAATTTATTTAAATATATAAACTATTCAGACCAAAATTTTTGGTTCTAAGTGGAACGATGAATGTATTAATTCTACTTTAATAAATTAAATATATTAATTATGTGTATCCGAAAACTATATTTTTCGTAGTAGAAAAGGCTTCAATTTTCAACTTGAATTTCTAAAAGAAAAATGAGTTAAGTTGGTACTTAAATAAGAAAGTAAAATATGAGTTTAAAATGTTTAAATAGTCTAGTACTATTCTTCATTATTTTTTTTAAAGTTTTATCTTTTCGAATTTAAATTGATGATATCTTAATCATTTTAATATCTTAGGTACAAAAACAGAATACTTACTGTAGGTATATAAACAATAAATAATATCATAGGTCAAAAGACAAAAGTTGACGTTTAAATTTCACCAAACCTATTTAAATGTTATAAATATTTTTAAGATCATAAATGAGAATAATTCAATTATTGTAAGATTAAAGTTTTAAAATAAATCCACAGTCAATTTTTGTATATCAGTTGTATTTGGTTAGAATTATTGAAATTCAAGTTGCAATATAGTTTTACCTATCAACATATTATTTCATTATTTTGACTTTTATTGTTATTTATTCAGTATTGAAAAGTGGRYAACCTTCTGAACTATATTTTGATGTGAATATTCAGATTTCTATTTTCTGTATATTATAATGATTGAACCACTTTTTAAAATTCGGTACCTCTGAAATATGTCTGAAAATAAGTTTCAAACATTCAGAATCGTATATTCATAACTTGAATATTTAGGAATGATAAAGAATTATTTGTTTTTGTGAACTTTCTTACAATTTCTATGAAATACAAGATTTAACAACGAAATAAAAATATTTTTGCTTACAATTAAAATTTGAACCAACCTTTCAACCTTTCTGCAGCGCCATCGCCAGCCAGTCACCACCTCTATAGTATGTAGCTTAACACACGAGCAACCCGMCCTCAAATAAATATCTCACACTTAACTTTCTCCTCACTGCATCTTTTTTTTAGATATTTTCTCATTATTATCCTCCCTCATAGGAATATAAAATATGATATCTTATATTTTTACCAACTTGTAACTGCTGGAGCAGTAGTGCGCAGTGCGCATACTTGACGTCCATTTCTATAATGATTATTTTTCCGCAATTAAATTATGCTATTCTCATCTCCCGTGCAATATTATAAATGGTATATATATATATATATATATATTGTACAGTCAAGAGAAGAGCGTCATTATAATATTCTCTAACTTATAGGACGGCGAGGGGGGTGCCTTATGAGGTATGTGCGCAGTGGGTACTGCAGAGCTATGAATTAACAAAAGGACGCCTTAGATAAATTAAGCTTAAGTAAATACTATTTAAGTTAAATTTGATAAAACGATCAATATTTCTACCTTTAGCCGCAGAATTCTATACATTGTTTCGTAATCGATAAAATCGGGCAATACACAATAATAAATAAATCAAAATCTTCTTCATAACGAATCGCAACTGAATAGTGGTACCTCTTGCTAAGACTGACATACATTTCTTCTCCCCAAACAAATACTAAAGATTTTGGGTCCGTGCGAAAAATAAATCGAAACGAAATGTAGGCTATGGACGATAAATAGCGCGCGATCATCGATCGATTGTGTTCGGTATACGTAACGATGTTTCAGGTCGAATCGGACAGAGACGACAAGAATAAGAGACTGATCAGCCATCAGGACGGCAAAGGCGGTTACTGCATCCCGAACAGCCGGCAAAGGCGGCGAAGTTCGAGTCTGGCCAACAACAACCACTTCAACAGCAGCAACAACAATTCAATGGCCAACGCGCCGCAGCCAGCAGCCAATGGCCGCAACGAAGCGCCGCCGCCGACGAGATCCAACAGCGAAACTAAATCGGCCGACGGCGCCTATATATCGGTATCGGGATCGATGTCTTGAGGCCGACAACCATAAAAAAATAATATTGTTATATTGTAAAACTATATTATATTCCAATGTTTCTTTTTTGGATCAGTGCAAGCCCGGATTAAGAGGTGAAGGGGGCGAGCCCACAAGACTTGAAATTTTCTTTTTATAGGRGCCTCAATTGTTCGCTATAAATGTATGATATTGTTACCATTGTCTACTCACTTATTAATAAATAATGTGCGTAAAAGCAAATACTTAACACCTTTGAGGTTTAATATGAATAAAAATATTTGTTCTAAGACAAAATTTAGATTCTGGAAATCAAATAACATTTATTACTTAGGTGCGATATGATACGAAAAATTGCTTCAACTAAAGCTAGAAATAATGTTTAAATTGAATATTAATACGACGAGTTCTGTATTTTAATGTTTTATAAAGGCGAGAATTGAATTATGGAAAAAATGTTTATTATTTCACACGGGAGTCTAAATTATTTGTCCCTGAGAACTCAAAAATCTTAATCCTGGCTTGGATTAGTGTACATGTCGTATAATATTATTATATTATTCTACTGGGTTACTGTAAAATATTATTATTGTATATTCGATAAAATTAATGAAATAAAATAATGTTCGATGGTCTCATGGAATCTGTTGGTGTGATAATAATATCATAATTATTATTGTTACATAAACATGTGTATAAATCCAAATACCATTTGACCATATTATGATATATATTAGCATGTGTTAGGTATAATATGTTTTTGTATTGATCGTTTATTATTTACGCTTAGTGCACGAGCARCAGCAATGCACAATTATTATTATTATAAACCTAATATTATTATTATTGTTTTTGTAGATAGTTGTTTTAGATTCTGAGCGGGAAAATGCTTATTATTGCTGTATATTATTATTATTATTATTATCATTACTATGTATGGTTATTGTATTTATTACGGTAATAATTTATTATTGTGATATATGTTGTGTTTTTATTTTTGTATTTGTTTTGGGTAAAATGCGCTTAATTATTTTTGTGAAGATGGGGAAGGGGTATTTCAATTGCGACGAGCATTTCGGAAAATATGTCAAGCTGTGCGCCGTATGTCTGTCCGTTGTATAGATCATACTTCAATGTATGACGATTTAAGTTCATCAGCTGTATTAAAATTATTAAAAACAAATTTGAATATAAGTATACTCTGATAATATAATGTCAAAAAAGAATTTGCTATTTATTTTTTCGAATATAAATAAAAATAAATAAATAAAAAACCGCAGAAACTACTCCGCTCAGTATCGTTATTTCCTTCTTTTTATGTTTCTTTGTTTTAATACGATTACAATTTGGTTTTATAAATTATTGAATTCAATAGTCCACTTATCCCGACRGCACGCCCAAAACTCTGCTTGTCTTAAAGGTGGAAGATATTGCGCTTTTTTCTTTCTTATTTCAATTTGCAGTAGGTATTGCGGTGTTTCAAAAACGTGTAAGCAAATGTTTAAAACGTCATACTCGGTGTAGGCGCGTAGTTCTAGGGTTAGGTCGATGAGCATAATATTTTAATATATATTTTATATGAACAGAAACTAAAAATGATTTATTGTTTTATTGCTGTACTTACTGGAATTATATAGGATATTCATTTTTAGAAAAAATATTGTAAAACGGTCTGTGTAAAATAAATTTACCTACGTATTTGACATATTCGCTATAGAATATAGTATATTATCGTATATAATATCATCTATTATAATATAATATTTTATAACAATATTAAACAATAAAATATAAAATACATATAAAGGCATGACCTCCTTCATAATAATAGCTGATTTTGTCTGCTTTCTAAAATCCTTCATTACATACCTATTTTGCCATTATTATTATTATTATTATATATTATCATCATGCTAGCTTTAGCTGTGGCCTGTGACTGATTTCATGCATCATATATTTTAACATTAGTCAAATCGAAAATATATTGAGATTGAGAAATGATTACATACGCATATATATTATTATGAACGCTTTATAACGACTTTCCTATAACATTATCACATCGATTTCTGAAATATATTTCTTTATTTTTTATGATCTTATTAAATATCTCTACACGACTTTGATCAAACAATTTATTTTATTTTTAGAAAGATACGTAATACATATAGSTATTAAATTATAGGTACTTAACTATTATATACCATAAAAATATGTATTTCAAAAATGTATGAAATTAATTTTTTTTTTCACAATGTGATTTTCCATCAAAATATTTTGTATGTTTGTTAACGAAAAAAAAAAGATGTATATTAACGACAATGATATTTTTCAAATTTTGTTGAATGCTTATGCCAACATTACATGAATATTACAAGTTTTTTAGCAAGCCAAGTCCATACGACCGAATTTGAGATAAAAATTTTTCTTATGTTTCAGAGTGCCTTAAAAGAGTGTTAACTAACAGTAATAATATACATGCTATAGTTTGAACGAATATAACATCTTTTTAAAGCTAAAACTTATTATAAATTATAATATAATATACTAGTGCATAGAAATCAACTTTCAAGCACAGACTGGAATCCCTGTTTTTATCTTAATTTTGTCTGTTACCTATAATTATAATGTGTAACATTTATCCGACGTCCATTTTAGTTTTAAACTATTCATGTTTTATGTATTACAGAATAAGGTACTATAAAATATAATAATATGATGTTTATTATGCCAATATGGTTGTAACCAAACTACAAATGTCAAATACATATTTTATTTGTTAATAAAAAAAAAAAATTATAAGTGTTCGATTATTTTTTACGATAGGTACAATAATATTACATAGCACACATATTGTATCTTATAGTAGGTACTCAATTTAGTGATGGGAAGCGTAAATACACTCCCTTATATTTTTTAAAATTATTTTAGTGAAATAGAACACGATCCTGAACGGTTCTTATATAGACATCACTTTTTTGGATACTTATTGTTAACACGGTTGCAAACAGTTTTACTTACTAACTTTCATGCAACGTCGCCGTTTCAATTTGTTACTATATAAATCAGTGATCACAAAATAATTGTAACACTTAATTTTATTTTATTTTTATAAATTAATAAAATACATTTTTTTATTTATGTTCATAAAAGCATATTATTATTATCATATGTGATAATTTAAATTAGTTTAAAAAACATGATAATAGTGTTTGAAAATTAGTACGGTTTGGTGTCATTATTCTAGTAAGATCAAAAATTTATAATTTGAAGATTTTGAGAATTTAAAGACCTAATACATTCGTCAAAAATAACTTCTAATAGTAGGTACACTTTTTTTAATTGATATTATGATATAAGATTGTACATATTGGAGGCATTCGAATGTGAATGATCAATGATTAAGTTAGTAAATAAGCTTCATAATGTCTAAAAAACATAATTCATGAACATAATTACTTAATATAAATAATTTGTAGTGAATTATTATCTAAATCAAACTAAGTTCTAAGTTTTGACCATAGTTCGTACAGTATTTACAAAGCTTTAAATATTATTTTGATAATCAATGCTTAAATAACTGTTTAAAATGCCTACTTTAAAAATAAAAAATGAATAAATATCTAGCCGTGTAGGTATACTAAAATTCAAAACGAATCAATTTGTGATAGTGAATTAAAATATTAATAAGTTCGTAAAAATAATATACCTATATCAAGATTTATTTCAATATAAAATAAATAAATATAAATATTATTATTACCATTATTTTCATAGTATTATTTTTAATATTTTTAAAACCATATTTTATTTGCAACGCTCTAAAAAAAGAGTGCTTAACATTTCACTCAGTGGTCAGTAGGCTTAAATATTTTTACATGATACACTGTAGATAGCATATTATTATACGAGTATAATAGCATGGGTTAAAATGGTTAAATATTTAATATTTTAGATAGGTAGTAGGTACCTATCGATGTAAAATAAATGATATGAGTTACGGAGTTTCAATGTTCATAGGTAGTTACTTATTATTCCTACAACCATTATCTCATAATACCAATAATACTTACCTACCTTATACCATATCACCCATCACAAAAACCATAGAAATAATATTTTTGAGTAAATGACATGTTGATTTTATATTTATTTTGCTACTTCCTTTATATTTGATTTTCAAGAAAAAAAATCGTTGAAAATTTAAATTGTGTTTCAATATTGTTTTAAAACAATATTTAGACAAATCGATAGGTCAAATACTTAAATATATTATTCATTATCATTTTTATGATGGGTGATTAACCTCCAATATTTTTTCTATGACTTTTCGTTAACTTGCCAATTTTTGTAATTTTAATGAACCCTGATAACATTTAACTTCAGTCTCATAAAAAATTATTGCAAATTTACTTAACTTATTTTTATTTTCCACCATAAACAACTATTATGATGTACGTTGTATTACGTTTTCAAGTTTTTTGACATACCAACATTTTTTTATCGACATTAAGTAAAAAACTATATAACTCGAAATTTATTATGCCTATATTAATAGTTTAAAAAGAGTCTTTTAATTTTGAAAGTTGCATGGTGCATAACAATTTTTCTATAAATATTCAGTAAACATTTCATCTATCTAAAGTTATTTTTTTTTTTTTAATTACGCTATATTATAAAGCCGATTAAAAAAAAAAAATACTGTTTTGTGTCAAAATCTTAGATTTTCCTTTATTTTTTTTGTTTGTTTTACCTGATACTTTAAAAATTATTGAGAATCTTTTACTTTTGAGTCCCCAAAATACCAACTAGATTCATATTCCTACCAGAAATCAATTAAGTCTGTTAAAGCATTTTTTACTGCCTCAAAAACGTGATGACAGTCACAAATAATTTATATGTTTAATACAATTTTACTTGAAAATGTACTCCAAAATAGAACAAACTATTGTATTYGGAATCATTCCAATCAAACTTTCATCACAGTTGTTTCGCCTTGTTTGTAAGTAATAATGTACTTTACAGATGTCTGCAGTGTTTACTTCCCTAGGTATCAAAATATTTTGTATTTGTATCAAATTATTTTTGAATTTTTTAGGGCACATATATTTCATCAGTTATTGACGTGAAAGAATTAGAAGATCATAACATTCCCAAATTGTATTATTATAGAATATATATATATATATATATATATATATGTTACCGTAAATGCCCCGCGATATCACTAGGTAAACCTAGGTTTTACTGTTTGTACTCAGTAAATGCTGAAATTCTTAATTTTATTCGGGCTTTTACTAAACACCTTGTGTACATCCTAGGATATACAAATTGACTTAGTAAAAGCTGATCAATACACGTATTTGACACGTGAATGCGCGTGCGGCCGTCATAATCGAAGATAAGAAATACCATTATGCAGCGGGCATTTATAGTAGTCATATCTCATATGGACGGGCTGAGGCACTCACACTAATGACCGTTTACTATATAAACACAAATACAACCCTCGCACGTATGCTCTATGTCGACATTGCCTTCAAACTGCCTATATTCAACTCCTTAAAAACGATCTGTATCGAATAGGCATAGTAAGAACTTATGAACCTTGTGTCTTTCAAACTTTTTGACTCAGTTTTTATTGACATTTATAGTAAAAACTGAAAATTTTTTAATGTCTATAAAGAAAAAACGATCGATTTGATTTTGCTCGCGCGCGTCACGTTATGCACATTGATATGTCCACGAGTATTCACTTCTAGCAAGTGATGGCGCAGGAGTCGCTCCTCCAATAATCAGCTACTATACCTTGCACGCACGTAATATAGTAATTGCCTATTTTTTACTCCTTAAAACAGGTCGGTAAACAGTTTTAATGTAAAAC